TTCCATTTCGTCATTATTATGAGAATCAAGCGTTTTTGGTTAAAATTTTATTACGTATTCTTTTATGCCACCGGTATATTTCGTTTACTCTGGTTTACTCGAAGAGATCCGAACATTCTCGTCGAAATGTTTGCACCATAATAAATGTTCTTCGTCAGATTTGTTTCTGTACGCCCCGGTAGACGGAAATGCGATCTATAAATTGGTGGTACAAGCGAAGTGTTGATTCCTCCCGTAAACATCCGATCGTATAAATATTATGGGAAGCGAACGCGCGGTAATGGGCTCGAATGCACTAACGTCGTCTCCCCGACGCGTTTTTCCCCCTTGCCGTAAGAACCGGAAAAGCGCCGAAAGTATAAAGAAGAAACATCGATTCCTTTCTTTATTTATTTGCCACTGAGGCCGCTCTTCGCCACGATTTACGCTTTCTGTAGGTCTTGGCGTGATCGCTTCATCATGTTCCTTAGCTCGTCTCTTTTTAACCCGATTAAACGCGACATTCGGTTTTAATATATTAGAAGAGTTCACTAGATCTCACTGTAGCATTCGCTGCGACGTGATTAAACTGCTCCTGGTTAAGTGTCTATTTATATAGTGAAAAAAAGCGTCTTTGTTTTACGCGGAGCACGACTCCTTTGTCCCACCCGAATTTCTTCCACGTCGCTTTATCCGGACGCGCGAGATGAGTGCGACGCTACACCCCGATTGTCCCGGTTTTTTAATTTTTGCCCCCAAAATTCATTCCATCGGTAGGGCTTGTCCGTCCAAAATGTGGCCGATACAAACTGGAAATGTATTACTTTTCACCAACCACGTACACCAACGTTACCGTAGTATTGAACTCTCTTGACGGAGCGTCTCGATTAATCGGCCGCGATTACGTCCACGCGGGAGAGCCGACGTCTTCTCTCCTTTCTATTTTCGCGCATCCGACCCGGAGCCGATTGAAATCGCAGATTCGCGTTCCCGTCGCACTCGCGCCTCGCCCTCGCGACGTCCTCCGAAGCGACGGGAATCCGCTCGCGCGACCTCGCGAGGTCGCCTCCTCGGCTGCGAGAGCGAGAAGCCGCTCGTCGGACGCCGCGCGTCTCGAGACTCGGGCGATAGCGCGCCGAATTATTTTCGGTGACGAGCACATTCGCCGCGCGTATTTACGGCGGATGCGCGCGTGTGTGTATCGGGTACACGCACGCGAGTCGCAGAGGCGTCGCGACGCCGAGACGGGCGTCTCTCTCGCGTCGGGAGGCGGGCATGCGCGACCGCTCGCGTGCGCGAGCGTTCTTCCTGTTCCCGTCGAAAATAGACGGGAAGGCGGCGGGAAGACGCGACCGTACGGTCCTTATTTATAAGCGCCGCGCGCGGAATGACGCTACCGATCATAAAGCCACGCCGTGCTACTTTCGCCCCGTCGCGCGATAAAGAACCCCGCGGAGAGTCTCGCGATCGCTAAGAATTCCGGCTCCATTAGGGAAATGTAGAATAAGATCTCGTACGAAGGCCTCCCCTGGCGGGATATTAAATTGATGCTCTAAGCTCCGACTTAAAGACACCCGCGATTTAACAAATTCCTCAACGCTGATGGATCTTGGAAGGTGAAGGGGGATACGCTTAAAGTAAAATTGAATCGCTTAGAACGGAAAGGGTACACGGGACGAAACAATATGTTTCGAGAAACACAAGAAAAGTGCTTTATAAGCAGAATACGAAGTTTTCAGTAGGTTCTCTACTACTTCGCCCTGAAGAGGGAGAAGCATTTTTTAAACGTTTCGCTTGAGAGCAAGAACTGGAGCTTCTCTGGAGTGAGGATTCGTTGTCAATTGCGCGCAAAATGTTCCCTTTCTGTTCCGTGGTCCAATTTTATTCGAGGAAAACGCAGTCGCGGCGCCAGAGAGAGTACATCTTCCGCTACGTAGATCTGGAGGTATCGTCTATTCCTTCATCGGTAATCTGGTTAAATCGGGCACAAGTAGCATCACGATCGCCGCACCTGCGAGATATATTCGATATTCAGCACATGAAATCGCAAATGTAACGATCGACTTCTACGTACCCATCAAGCTGGTCGACGCGATGATTATACTTAGCAGGCAGGTCGTTCTGAGGAAGAGCTGCAGCGCGAAAATCGTCAAGTGGGGAAGTATCCTCGTCAGACCCATCGCCGTGCCTCTGGAATCGATACCAGAAAGTACGAGTTTTATACTAGCGCGCGTCTGCAAACATTTGATTCCCGAAAACGCGTCTGATGGTCTAAGATTAGCCGGACGTGCCCGCGGCCGTTCCGTTTTGCGCGACCTACCTCAGAGCGGTGGGATAATTTTCCAGCAGCAAAACGCACGTCGTCGTGCGCCCGATAGCGTAAGCGGCCAGGAAAATCGACGACAGAGTTACACGGATTGCGTGGTGCAACCGAAAAATAAGCGCGAGCGAGGCCACGCCACCCGCCAGTCCCGAGAATACTGAGGGCAATCAGAGAAGAGATCCTTTTATACTCAATATATTAGCGTACTGGATCGTCTCACAAGGTCTTTCGGATATACTTTTGAAATGAAACGAAAAGTTTCCATTTTAATCTTCATCCAAAATACACTCTCCCTTAATATTTACAATTGCCTCCCGTTTTAATCTTAAATTTTCAATTTTCCGCCGATAAAAGTCTTTCGAGTTTGAGCTAAGGAATAAGTCGAGTTCTCTTCGATACCGCATTATTTATGGGAGATGACTCGATATCTTCGTGATTACATAAAAAGGATTTTAAGTAAGCTGTACAATTTTAGAAAACGTTGCGAAAAATGAACACAGAGCTTTAGTATTCCATCAAATGAACAAGTGATCATAATTGCATTTAGATGCTTACTTAAGTACGGCCTTCTGCCAACGACATCGATTCCAACGATGAGCAACGTCTCTCCCAGCACGTAGCCCAACGATACCAGCGACAGCAGCCCGAAACGAGCCTCGTTCACCTCGTCGCAGCTTCGTACAAAATCCAATGCCATGTTCTGGACGCTGATGTTGCAAGTGCCGTTCCCGCTTACGACGTGGTCGCTTCCAATTTCCTGGAGAACGTGCGTGTTCCACAGAGCGAGCCAAGTGAATCTTAAACATCGTTCTCGTGATTCTCCTTGCAATCGGAGACAAATAGCTTACGAAGGAACCTTCTTTATTACCCGGGAAAATGCAGAAGACACGCTAACATTCCACACAGTGTTATACGCTTGTACGGAGGCTTGTACACTCTGTGGACCCGTTTCCAGGTTTTCGTGAAGTACCTTCGAATGCTACCATGTTCATCTTCGTCATCTGGACGCACGCAGTCGCTCAAGTCCCTGATCTGGATCGTGAAGAACAATTCCGAAGAGATAAAAGAGTCATCGACAAACGCGAAGTATATAAAAAACACATCAGAAGATACCGGTTATTCCAGATGTGATCAACTATTGTGATATTCATTCCTTATCTAGTTATAAATGATCTTTCTATAAATGACTGTAATTATTAATTTCCCATCTCTATATTGTCCTACATTTGCTATACGTTCTTGTTTTACCTCTTCCTGCAAACCAAACTCATAGGAATCGTTTATCCAAGATTTGATAGCAAATAAAGACTGGAAATTGACTTGGAAATATAATGAGATCTTCGAGGGAGGATTGGACTGCCGTACCGGGTAGGTGTTGGCGTGTGTCGAGGTGTTGATGGCGTACATCTGTTGGAGCACCTTGAGCGCTTGTCTCGTCCGTCGACGGTGCAACGAGTACCGAGGACTCGGCGGTAGGAGACCCGAGATGCAGGCGATCACCAGGCTCGGCATGCCGCAGACGATGACGAGTACTCGCCAGGAACTCGGCCGGAATTGCTGGCGCAGAATGCGTATAACGGACGGCATCATGGACCAGGAAACACCTTTCCGAACAAAGGAATCTCTATGTAATTTTTCGAATAACGTTTCTCTCGAGGGAACAGCTGAGCATTTCAGTCGAGTACTTTAAGACAAGATGTTTAAATCTTTCTGCAAACATTAAACATCAGCCTTTGAACTCAGCTGTTAGTTCGATAAGATTGAATATAGATTGACCGCTTTTCTTTTTAACTTTGTCTCCAACTGAATCTTCCAGTTTCTTTATCTTGTTAATGTTGAATTGTAAAAATGCATAAATGAAATTATCTATAAAAGTCGTTGTAGTTTTTAAAATAAACAAAAATGCCAAGTAAAGTAAAAGTGATTTACACAAACGTTCAGTCAGAGCTGGTCTTTTACATTCATTGAGATGAAATAAAATGTTTAATAAAAAGGATAAATTATGGAGTGAATTGAAATTATGATCAATAATCAAAGGGAATTTAATAAATTTAAATCATGAAGTATTAATTTTCGAAATTGTTTGGTTACCCAAGGCTGATAAATAGCCGACCATCCAGAACATGTCGATTACAGCTAAACAAGTTCCTCTCTTTCTCATCGGTAGGCACTCGATAAGATAAACTCTCAAGACGATATTATTTCCGGCCACTCTATGAATAACAACCTTACGTCAATGACCCAATTATCACGTGTGAATTACCGCGTGTGAATTAAATTCATGATGCAATTACGAATGCATGTATTTTGATGTAAATTGTTTTCACAATATTTTTCGCTCTTCTACATATCAAAAATGCAAGCAGAAATATTGCTTTTTGATAAGAAATCATAAATAAACAATTGCAAATACGAAATATACACGCGGCAATGTAATAAAAAAGTAAAGGAAGGACATTTGAAAAATGTTTTTTTAATCGCCTTATCGGATACACATTTTTAGTCATTCTGTCATAAGATCGTATCGTTTTCGTTATGGAAGGATGACAACTTACCCCAACCCTAACATGAACACCGACAGGTTTATTAAAAAATGAGCTTGGGCGAAGGAAAGAGTAGCCGAAGCACAAAACACGATGCCCGTAGTAATCGGGATTGACTTTCTACGGCCTGCAACGTCTGATATAGTTCCAAACAGAAAAGCACCTACTGCCATTCCTATGCGATTAACAATAAGAAGCATGACAAACCAATGCAGTATAAACATATGTATACTCAAACGCTAACTAAATAATACATATTTTAACGCACAACTAAAAATACTATAATTTTTGCTTCAATTTTTTGTATATATATGAAATGTAATAAGAGATAAAGAGATATAAATGATTTTTTAAAAGCATGTCCTGTTTTACATTGAATAATTAATTCAACGAAATAATTTAAATTTAACACAATTGTTAATTTAACATTTCAGTACGAGATTCATTAAGATAGCGCTTTGTAATATCGTATACCGAAACTGGAAGTAGCGATGGGCATCGTGGCTTGATCTCTATTGAGCTTTAAATCGCACGCTATCAGCGGTGCTACAGTGGGGACGGTCAGAGAAGTGCTTGCTTCCGCAAGCGACAGTAAGCCGCACAAAGCGACGACGAAGTAATGCCAGATACCCCATCCTGCATTAAATTTGCAAATTTCAAGTGTATATTTTTCCAACTTAAGAAAACTCATTTCTCAAATGCAGATTTACCACAATTATTGTGTAACGTCAAATTTAGATAATGCGTCCCATTAAGTTGCTTTTTTTTCTATACGGAAATGTAATTGATATAACAATAAACATTTTTCTAGAAGAAATAACTTCGTCACATTTTTCGTCCTTACCTGTTTCAGTTAGTGCAGTTTCGCAATCGTCACTCATGCCACGTAAGGTGATAATGTTATCGTAACAGCGTATGATATTCGCCAAATAGGTTATTAAATAAAATATCGAATGTTCGTAAAATGAAGTTCTCCGCAATTTGCCAGCTCGGAATTCTCGCAAATATTTTTATGTTAAATCACCACTCTGACACGAAGATTAAGGAAGAAGGAAGGAAGGTTAAGAAAATAACAGGGAAAAATATTGACAATTAGAGCTGTTGTAACGTGTTTGTAACGTGTGAAGACAAGGCGGCATTGTCGACGACTTGAACTTGAACCTCGCACGGATTTCGATAGTGATATTTCAATCATTTGAGCTTTCTATCGAGATTTTCGTGCAGCTAAGCTCACTCAGCATTTCTTAATCGCATCGATACTCGTTATCACGATTGATCTCTATCATCAATTACTTTTAGCATATTGATATCAAATGATTCATATTTCCATGTGAAGGCGATAAAATATTTCTTAGATATATATAGAAAATAAATTTTTATTTTCCATTTATTAAACTAAAGACGGGTGTCTTCTATGTGAAAATACGTATATCCAGCTATGCTAAGTAGAAACAGAAATGAATGTGTCAAACTCGAAGAGTACGCAGCGAAAGAGTATAAAACACACATACACACACGAGTTAACAGTAAGTATGAAGAGGCATTAGTATGAGTTTATTGTCTATTGATCCTTGAAGTACTCCAGTGAGCCAACGACGTCGGCCTTCATGGCCTTCGCGCCAGGTTTCCAGCCGGCTGGACAAACCTCACCGTGCTTGTCGGTGTACTGGAATGCCTGAACCAGACGGAGAGTTTCGTCCACGGATCTGCAATTCATATGCAAAATCAGATCATTGAGAATAATAAAATCACATTAAGCTCCGACCAACGCTTATATTTTGAATGCTTATACCGCAATGGACGAAATAATTTCTTATAAATTCACTACGATCTTATTAATGAAACAAATGTCCCACCTTCCCACGGGTAGGTCGTTGATGGTGATCTGGCGCAAGGTCTGCTTGTCATCGATGATGAAAAGACCGCGGAAGGGAATTCCCGACTCCTCGTCGAGGACGCCGTAATCGCGGGCGATCTTGCAGCTCTTGTCCGCCAACAGGGGAATGTTCATCTCACCGAGACCGCCCTGCTTGCGCGGCGTATTTATCCACGCGAGATGGCTAAAGTGGGAGTCGGTGGACGCGGCAATCACTTGGCAGCCGATGTTGGTGAACTCCTTCACTCGGTCGGAGAAAGCGATGATTTCCGTCGGGCACACGAAAGTGCTGCGGTGAAATAATTATGTAATCGTAGCCCACAGCCCATCTAAATTGCCTATTTCTTATTCCGAAATCTTTAAGGCGTGCGATGCAATTTTCAACATTTTATCTTTTCCACAGATGCAAATCCCTCGTTTCAAGTATTTCTTCGTTAAATCTGTTCATTGAGATAAATACGCAATACAAATTGCTTTAGCCTCGATGTGAATTAGCAGCAGTGATTTTAAAACACAGACCCGTTGTCGACCTTTGAAATGTAGAACACGCGTCTCTTTGTTGCCCGTTTCAAGCGTATCGACTGACAATAAGAGTCAAGAGCGTACTTGATGCAAATGCCGAGCAACTACACAACGACACTTCTTGCGTAGCGGCAATTTGAGAATTGCGTAACGTCGTTATATCCCGCCTACGAAGGTACGACAGTAAATGTTACTTACAAGTCCAACGGGTAGAAGAAGAGCACGACATATTTGCCCTTGTAGTCGCTGAGTTTAATATCCTTGAATTGTCCCTTCACAACGGCTGTGCCGCAGAAAGCTGGTGCCTGTTGCTGAATCTGAGGCATGGTCACTGCTGTTTTGTCGCTACAATCAGAAAGCAGAGAGCAACTGTGCAATTCCAGATCTTGTACAATCGACCCTCCTACATTAGTTAACATCGCGACTTCTAATCTTTGTCTAGTTATCTAATAACTACGCCGTTAAATTTAACTTAATGAGTAGTCGCCATCGCTCCTATTCAATGTGTCGGAAACCATAAAATGGATCGAACAAAAGATGTGTTTCAACTGCAATTTATGTTAAAATAATAAATATTGTCATAATTTATACCATAATGAAATATTATCCAATATTTTCTAATACACTTCTATTACATTATTAAGTCGCCACGCGAAATAATCTCTACTCTCGGAAGTTTTGTTACGAATCCGCGGGTGTCCGCGCGACAAACGTAAATTCGATGGTGCGTTAAGGCCGAATCGGACTAGCAATTGCCGACTCGAATTGGACTGGGATTGACGATTGTCCTCTAGCCAATGAGAGCAAAGCAGCCAGCGATTTAATCGGCTCTCATTGGCTAGAGGACAATCGCCAATCGCCAATTTCAATTCACTCCGAGTTAACAATTGCTAGTCCGATTTGGTCTTTAAGGCCGAATCAGACTAGCGATTGCCGACTCGGATTGGTGATTGTTCTCTAGCTAATAAGAGCCGATTAAATCGCTGGCTGCTTTGCTCTCATTGGCTAGAGGGCAATCGTCAATCGCCAATTCCAACTCACTTCGAGTCAACTATTGCCAGTCTGATTCGGCCTTTACGGAGTTTTTCTTCTCTATTGCCGCGCATACAGAATTCGACCGGCGATCTGTCTCCGCGAGGAGGCAACCTTGAACATGACGCTCGTTTCCGCGAACCGTGCGATAAGACTCTCGTGGAAATATCGTTCCGGAAATGTCGCGTCTCGCATTCAAGATTAAATAATTCGTAAATGTAATCAGCAGCGTCGAGCCGGCACTCGGCACGAGTGGATTTGCGCGCGATAAACTCTCCAGAACCGCCACCAGCTAAACGTTTGTTCAACGATTACTTGTGCAAAGATCCTCGCGTGTTTTGTGTATCGACCTCGCCGCGGCATTACCGAGTCCATGCCGGCGCACGCATACCGTTTTGTTATCTCCGCTGATGACCGGCCGAATAAATGCCAGGCGTCAACTGTGAGAACCGGGACAAGTGAAAGACCAATGAGGAATACCACGGCCGAGGGGATTCGATGACGCAGGGACTAATATCCAAAGTCGATGAGACATACCGAATTTATCTCGTCGGAAACCGCGAGCGGATGAATATTTAAATAAACCGTCGATCCGAGAAAGTCATCCGCAAATTTCATAAATCAGTCAGCTTGTTTATCGGAACGCCTCGTGCGTCAGTGTATTATAAATCGGTAATATATATCTTTGGCACGCATACCAGGCGCCGAATTAAAATTTGCATCGGGCTTTTCGTATTCTACATAAATTAACACTGAAGGTTCATTCGATCACTCTTGAATGATCATTGAATTACGCAAGAGCGAAGCTGGATTCGGCCTTTCCCAGAAGGGAACCAGCGGGAATGAATATCGGAAGGATCAATGGAATTGAGTCACCAGGTGGGACCTCGGCTTGTGCAACGGTCGAGAGACCCCAGGTATACACCGGGGAAAAGTCTCGCTTGTAAAGTCTAATCTACAATGTGCTCTTTATATCTAGAAACATTCTTAACGACAATGTACGACTGTACAATGTACAATATGCAATTTATCCACTTGCGCAAATTTTTTAAACGTATTTATCGACCACAATATAGAATGTTTCTAGACGCAAAGAGCACATTGTAGATTAGACTTAAAGGGAAATGAGAGCCAAGAGAGTAAGCAGTCATTTTGTAACTTAGGCAAAGCTGTGAATTCCGATTGGTGGAAATTTTCGTACGTTTTCAGCACGAAAGCGACTTCGCGTCGAAAGGGACGCCTCTCGTCCAATCGCGCGGACGACCTTACGTTGTGGCAAAACTCTTTGTTACACGGCTCCATTCCGAGCTCGCTAATTACAGTAATAACGGACGCTCGGCGATAACCGCAACCTTGCATTCTATTTTAAAGAAAAATAAAAGCCGCCGGGATCTAGTCCCTACGGGGAGTCTTCGAACGTTCTGTATCCGCGGTAACGTTAAATCGAATCTAAACAGCGTTGAACAACGCGGACCTGAATTCACATGAAAAATTGTAAAGAAATTTTTCTCCATGCTCCGTCGAGTTGTCGAACATTGTGAAATATTATATAGAAAATATACGCAGAGCGTTTAATTGTATATGTAAAATCTATTGTGCGTTACAAACACGTGATTGGTATAATAAATTGATACGTGACATAACGTGATTAATCATATTTGGTATCCAATTTGTTGTCCCTCACGTTCAGTGTATTCGCGTTTCCGTTTGGATCTCGATCGTTCCTGACGACGCGTTCGCGAAGAAATCCCGGCGACAAACAATACGGATAATCCGCTCGGCGATTGTTCGATAATTAGCTGACGGAGATAAGCGGCGCGTAAATCCACGCGCGATTGCAATCGCCGTTGCCGAATTGCGTTGATTCGCGCAACGACGGGCGCGGAATTCGCGGATATCCGTCTAAAGAAAAAGAGAAGATCCGTCGTGAATCTCGAATATCGATGTAGTTCCTTTATTCTCGCTGCCACGTAAACGTTTTCCGGGAAGGCGACAACGCGTCGCAGCAAAATTCTCCCGAAGGAATAGGAAAGGAAGGAATTAAGAGGATCCTTCAGCCGTCTGTATTACCGACCGATTTGAAGTCGTATTAAATTCATGAAATCAACAATGCTTGCGTACAATTACAGTATATGCATTAATGATCCAAGGAATCTCCGATTTTATACAAAAAAATGAGTAAAAATTTCAAAATTCATATACTGATTAGTTATATCCTTGTAGACGAAATGTCACTTCGTCTTAATTTACGCTTCGTATAAAAGTTTTACAACTTGTACTCACATGAAAGTGAGTTTCCTGGGATTGGATTACACGTAAAATTACTGTAAAACTCTCCAAATTGGGATTACAGGTTTTAAATAAGAATATAGTTTGTATTAAACTTTCGCGTTTATGTATGGGTGTATTGTAGATGTGTGTCCGTGTGGTTACAAGGATAAACGGGACGAGGAGAGGACAGACACGTCGAGCGAAATCAAACATTTCAGGTGTTAAACGAAAACACGCGAGATTGTACTCTCGGGCTTTCAATTTCGAAATTAAGGGCCGTACAACAAACGTCAACGATATCATCGCGTGTTCTGCGCAGCTCTTCTCCGGCACGTTACATCTACGCAAAGCACATAATGATGTCGTTAACGTTTACGGAATTAGGCCCCTTAAACCTTGTGTCCACGATTCAAAAACTGTGTCCAAGTTCTAGTTCCAAGAAATGCGTAGCCAATCAATCTGCAGCTATTCCATAAAAGCCGCAAGGTGATTGGCTACGCATTTCTTGGAACTAGAACTTGGACACAGTTCTTGGATCGTGGACATTTTGAAGCCGAGTTTCATTCGTCCGTCTCTTTCCAACTGGTGCTTTAGGGCCAGTTTCACAAACATCGGTTAACTGCTAACCGAAGGCTAATTGATTCTCGGTCTCTTTTGAAATAACAACACGGAACAAGATAGCGAGTCGACTGGAACCGCAGTTAACCGATGTTTGCGAAACTGGCCCTTAGAAAGAGACGAACATGAATTAAAATAGGATCGAAGTTACGCGACGTTCGGCGAAACCGAGCCTCAGAGCGAGTGACGAAATTAGCACCGTAACACCGACGCACGCACAAAAACTGACGCATTTTGTCCCCCGACATCCGATTCTCGACGTGGGTCACTGCGAGAGAGGATCCTCTCGCTCGGGGATCGCATAATCGTTTCCTCCGAGTTACTCGCCATTTCCTATGGGGAATCGTAGGTCTCGGCAAACTCGATTCGTTCCGTGGCGATACGCGACTCGCCGAATACTTGTGGCGAATTTTCCCCGTCCTCGTCTCTCCTCCCTCTTCCTCGGTCGAACTCTGGCTTGCGAAACAGAGCGCAATTCACGGATATTACGCACCGGTGGGCGGAACCAGCGAATTGCGTGACTTTTCGCGGCCCGCCCGGTCGCGGTAACACGCGACGGCCTCGCCGGGGTGTCGTCCGACGAATTTCGACTGTTGGCACCGGAAAGAGAGAAGGCCGCCACAATTGTGGCGAGCGACCGGCGTCGTCGTCATTCGGCGTCGTTCGTTCGGCACTTCGCCCGCTCGCGAATTGTCGATTTCACCGTGAATATCGCGAATTACGTGACGACCGGACGAACGATTGTGGAGAAATTCGGTTACCTTGAGTGTAGCTTCCTCGTAGAAGACCGCGATCCGCAGGTGACGTGAGAACAATGAGAAGCGGGAACTCGCCGGCGATCCGTCTCTGAGAACCTTTTGGTATCGACCGCCGCATATATACACACATAAAGACGAAGAGCGGGAATCGCCCCGACACCTAGCGGCCGGCTGTTTCACCACGTGAGGTTAAGGCGCTTGCACAATCATCGACATGAAGAGTACCGGGGCTTGATTCTTGAATTCACTCGAAAGAGAAACGTATGCGAAAAGTATTAACACGCACGGAGCGACTGTCGCCACTGCTTGCCGGCTCGACGTTCGGCGAGCGAGTGTACCTTCGGGGTACACGATGGCACGCAAAAACGTCGTACGTCACCGCGCCGAGAGAAAAACAACTACGAACGTTGAGAATTCGTTCTTTTTTTGGTTCCGTGACTGTTACTACGTTTATGTATCTTTGTTTTTATGTATTTCTGCGGACTTATCGGCATGATATTTACATCAACTGTTCTCATGTAGACAATGTAAATTTTATATATTAGATGTCCGAATGCGTAGCACAGACATGCACCAAGTGGAAATTTTATCGGCAGCGTCAGGGGCCCGATTCTCGAAATCATTCGAAGAAGAAACGTATACGAATATTCTGCTCTGACAGAAAAGTTGAAAGTCGATTGGTTAAAGCCATGCGAATAGCCAATCAACTTGCAACTTTTCTGTAAAGCCTCCGCTACAATGATTCTCGGTTCTGTCTACAATGGTCGTAGTCGTAGTCGCTCGATAAGGCTGGGTCTACATTGGATGTCGTAAGTCGTGTCGGAAGAAATTGACCAATCACAGTTCATTATTCTTCAACCGTAAGGAGAATAATGAACTGTGATTGGTCAATTTCTTCCGACATCCAATGTAGACCCAGCCTAAGAATTGACCAATCGCAGTCGATTATTCTTACGACTACGACCATTGTAGACAGAACCGAGAATCATTGTAGCGGAGGCTTAAAACTGGGCATAAGGGCGCGCAAAACAGTCTCCCGAAACCGGTATCAAGTAAAGCCTCGTCTACATAGAAGTCGTAGAGTCGTAGTCGTAAGAATAGTCGACTATTCTTACGACTACGACTCTACGACTTCTATGTAGACGAGGCTTAACGAATGGGGAACGAATTTTCTGACAGTTGGCCGCACTGATATTTACCTACCGGGCACGCGTAGCGGTGCATGTGCTGGCGGACGCGTTTCGAGCGGTTTCTAACGTTTGCTCCGAATTTACGTCGCGGCCGGAACCCATCGGACTCGATTGCATTTCGATTCGCGCGCTCCGACGTCTCTGCGTTTTGCATCGTTCGAAGAAAAACTGCGTTCGTCCAACAGTTAACGGCACCTAACCTCTCGACGGAGTCTCACGGTCGTAGAGAAGTTATCGTTTAAAGGTAAGTTCTCCTGTCGCTATTCTTCCATTTAACTTGCCTCGAGAAGCCGAGCGAGAATTCCTCGAGAAAAATATGAAAGCGTTCCCTTCCCTCCCTCACTCTCGCCCCGTACAAATTAATGCGCCCCGCCGTTTCTGCGCAAGAAAACAACAGCGAGGAGAAACGTGAACGCTAATTAAGCAACGGGGAGCGAAGATGGTAAATAGCGAGGCGGGAAGAAAAGCATCGGGTGTGAATAAACCGCCGTGTCGTAAACCGTGATGTGTCGCACGTACTAATTATTTCTGCATTATTTGTCTTTAATAACAACAATCTGTATAAATAATACATCTTTTGCGTAACGCCGCGACATCGAGGGGACCGATGCTGTTAGCGAGCGTGTTTCTCTCTACGCGCGATCACCGCGGCGTCGCGTCGCCGCCGCCGCGGATCCCGCGGGCGGGATACACGATTTTCCGATATATATATAAATAACACGCGAGTTATATCTGCGTGCGCGTTATGCCTCTTATCTGTAAGGATAATATACTTTTTGGCACTTACTAATAATTAATCGATACCTCGGGAGGGGCGAAAGGAAGGGGGATTTATTTATTAAACATTAGATGGGTGCGTTAGGCTCGATTTCGCGCGAAAGAGAGAGAGAGAGAGAGATCCCTCGCACGATCCCTTCCCTCATCTCGCGCCTCCTCGCCTCCGTCTTTCCCCGAACTCCGCCTTCAGGTCGTTTCCCAGTGAATTTTATACAGGAGAGTCGAATATCTCTTTCACCGCTAGAGAATGCCCGGGCTAGTTCAGTACGTGGTGGTGCGGGGAGATCTTGCGAGGACGATGGGGTGGCCGTTGGGCGCCGTGGTCGCCCAAGCGTGTCACGCGTGCACCGCCGTTATCCATCTCTTTTACAACGACGCCCACACGCGGGCCTACCTCGCCGATTTGGACAACATGCACAAGGTGGTCCTCGAGGTGAGTGTCGACTTCGCCCGCAGGGGAAAAGCATTGCCGTCGCGAGTTGCTGCTCGTCCGACGCGGATGCACGGGAGAATTAATTTTAAATCGTTCTCGGTAAGCGCCAACTAATCGTCTCGCGTAACGTCAGTATTACAGCTTCTTTGCTCGACAATACGAATGCGACGTAGTACACGTTGCGCGTAACAGTTGTACTGTTAAGTGGAAAATTATCAGGGTTGGGAAAGTTACTTTGTAGAAGTATCTAGTTACAGTTACAGTTTTTTCGCTAAAAATGCAACTAGTTACAGTTACAAGCTACCAATTCTGAAAAGTAACGCGTTACAGTTGCAGTTACTCCAAAAGCGACGAGTCGTTACTTTGCAGCTACTTTCTTGCAATGAAAGTAAAAATGTCAAATTTGCATTCGAATTGTAAAGCGTCGATAAAGGCGTCTATGCGCAAATGCAAGGCCTGATGCGATCTGTGGAGGTTTAAAAAATATATAAAGCAACTATTAATGTAACTATTAAATTAGTTACTAGTTATCGAAAAAATGTAACCGAGTTAAGTTACAGTTACAGATGGAGAGAAAGTAACGAAGTTAAGTTAGAGTTACCAAAAAAAAAAAGTAGCTCTTAGGGCGAGTTCCACAAACGTCGGTTAACTGCTAACCGAAGGTAAATTGATTACCGTCTGTCTCTTCTTAGATAATAAGATAGAAAAAGATAGGGAGTTGACTGAACTCTGGTTAGCAGTTAACCGACGTTTGTGAAACTGGCCCTAACTGTAACTTCGTTACACGTAACGAGTTACTTCTCAACCCTGAAAATTATAATATTGATGTTACCTAAATGACCGTTAGTTGGCGTCCGTTATCTCTGTCGTCGCGTGTATACAATATTTCGGTCTCCCAGTAAGAAGCGAGCCGTTCACGAGGCGGCGTGTGAAACGGCGAGGAGTCAGTACGAGTATATGAATAATAATAGGCCGCCGACGAAGCCGATCTGCAGACGCTGTGCGCGAAACTGATGGAGGACGACGTTCAGCACAAACTGTGGGTAGAACAGCCCGAGAACGTCGCCACGTGCCTGGTGACGAAGCCCTACCCCAAGGACAAGGTGCAGTCGTACTTCAGGAAGTACAAGTTACTCAAAATGTGACGGAAATGTAAATGGCAATAAATGCGGCGACAAATCGCGATACCTCGACGGAATGTCTCGAGTTACTTTCTCCACGTTACACCGAATCCAAATTAATCCTCCCGGTGCCGTTTCCGAGAGAGAGAGAGAGAGAGAGAGAGGGGGGGGGGTCTGGAAAGAGGTCTCCGAGGATCTTCAATTCGAGCGAAACGCGCGAGATCGCACGGCTGCGATCGAACGCGATAACCGAAAGATCCGACAGCCCCGAGAGGCTCCGCGGACGAGACGCGACTCTCCGGCGCTCGCGCGAGATAAATACCGGCTCTTCGCAGGGGAATGCCATTTATATTTCACTCCATTCGAGCGTCGGGAAGATCAATGCTCCGGAGATAAGCCGCGCTCCACGCGCGCGGCTCGAACGTGGCGTCTGCACGTCGATATCGCAAACGGGCGGCACCTCGGCGCTATTTTTTTTCCTTATCCTCTTCGTTTTTCCCTTCCTTTTTTCCGCGCGAGCGACGATCGCCTCGACGTATGGAAAATATTTGCGCGCGCGGAGAAACGGGCTGCGAACGTCCGGGAGAGACCGAGAGAGAGGAAACTGCGAGACGGCGCCGCTGCGTTCCGATATTTCTGACACGCTGGCAAGATGTGCGCTCACTGATTCATTCCACGATACCTCTCGCAACTATAGACAATGCGCGTGCACAGTCGTGCAACCCTTTCTCTGCGTTTACGCATACAGCACTAGCGTTTAGAGTACGATACTAATCTAGACGGGAGTAAGGCTGACGGCAGAGAACGATGCGTAAACGCTTGAGACTGTCTTATGCCCGTTTCTACCGCTGCAGATTATTAACTTTAATCTCGGCTTAAATTACTTCTCGTTTTCGAATTTTTAAAATTAGAAAAGGATACAAAGCGAGTTAAACCGGGATTAAGGTTACTCCGCGTCGGTAGAAACGGGCGTTAGTCGTAGACGTAAGGTAAAGGTGAGAAAAACGTAAGTCGTGTATACAATAGTTCACCTTTCTCTCTGCCATTTCTACCAATGTAGATTAATTTTAATCTCTGTTTGACTTACTTTCCGCCTGTTTATAGTTCTAAGAATCGGACAAGTGTAAAAAGTAAGTTAAGCAGTCGGGGTTAAAGTTAATCTGCATCGATAGACGTGGACATAAGACGGTCTTGAGCGTCTACGGATCGTTCCCTGTTACCAGCCTAACGCGGGACAGCGCGCCATTCATCAACTATTAATATATCAAAAAAAATTCTCTCCCGTCGCGCGAGTCTACGGTTGCTCTTCGGTGAAGGTACGGCGAAGCTCGGCTTTTCACAGGTATGAATCGGTGTCCTCCGCCGCGGGATTAGTCGAAGGGCGGCCTGATTCGCGCGCCTTTCCCAGGAATCTCCCGGGACGTCTGACGTGGCACGGTCCCGCATCTCTCAGTGCCGGTGTTCGGCAATTTCGCGGAAAGTATTCGCATAAACGAGAAAAAGAGAAGAGAACGAAAAGGTGAGCCTTTTCTTAGGCGCGCCTCAGGCCGCGGCTGGGAGCTAATCCCATCGGCGGTGCGTCGCGATTTTTCCTCGTGTCTCGCTTCAAACCGCGGGGAGTGTGTCCTTCCGCTCGTCGCAGTGAGATTCGCAGGCGTTCGAGTTCGCTCGACGTGCGCGACCTCCGTCCCCCATTTCCTTTCGGGATTATCTCCTTGTCCTTGTTCAACTCCAGAGTGTCTCTCCGCAGTCCTGACGAGGATCGCGAGTTCACCCCGGAAGACTCCTCTTCGTCCTCCCCCGCGCGCACGGGACCGAAAGCATCGATCGCGGATCCATCACCGTATACTTTTGTATGTATGCATGTAGTGTGTGTATGTGTGTGTGTGTGTGATACTTTACGGGCGAACCGTATTTTAGCCGACGACACGACCGCGACGGTACGGGACCGTCGTCGTCGCGATGCGATCGTAGATTCGCAGTAAGCTCTAATTATTTATGTACACGCACTGCGGACGCTAGACACTGTAAGTACACATATTTACAACACTCTCGATGGCAAGATGATTATTTTGGCGTATATATAATATGTATATATATATATTTTTTTTTCCTTTCTCGTAACGCGGTCGTAACGAGACGGAGGCGGAAACGGGAGAATATACAGAAGTCCTTATGACAAAAATGCACTATTGTCCTTGCAACATCACTGCCGCTCGTTCACCTCCTTCCCGTCCTCCTCTTCCTCCTCCTCCTCCTCCTCCAGCCATTGGCGCAGGATGTTGTTCCTCGGCTGCAAAGTAAAACGGAAGGTCGTCAGTCCACCTTTTGAAAACGGGATTTGTTCTTCGCGCAAGCAAGCTCGAGGTTTATTTCCGATAGAATCGTCTCGGACGCGTCCAACGGGCGCGTGATAGAAGCTGCACTAGAAATCTTTTCGAGAGTTTGCTAGCTTCATTTCGAAACGCACATCGACAAGTGGAGGAGAGAAACGAGCAGACACAAGCGATCGATACTACGTGCAGATAAGCTGTAGATAAACAATGCGTATTTTGGACATTGAATGCGTGAGATGTTCTCATTTAATTCTCTTTCGTTTTTTACGAAGTCTAGTATCGTTAGATAGTTTTCAACGAGGGGTAAACCGCTGTGGGCATTGTGGTGTACACTATAAAAAAATATGTAAAATTACATACATAATAAGTGTAGCGATTACACTTTAATAACGGAAATATATAAATGTATGTACTTTTACAAAAAAATTGTTTACTCTTTGTTGTGTAAATGCTTGTTTATACGTGATGAACAATTACAAAAAATTGTAAAATTTACACAATTAAAAGCAAGCAGTTTACTTATTATATAAGGTAATAATTTTACTTACAAGGAGTAAATTCACTGACTTATGTAAATATACACCTTTAATAGATAATCGATCCCAATATTACCCACTATAATAATTGTAATTTTACATGTAATTTTTTTACAGTGTACAGGTTTGCGGCATTACTAGGCATTTTTGGGCGTTAAGCTTTGCTGGGACACAATAAAAATAAACTGAGCTACAACAAGGTAAATAAGACAAAATAAGACAAATCCATTGGACTTTAGTACACAGTTGGAAAATTTGTGTTTTCTTGTTAAAGAAAATGCCGGTTAAAATTTTTGTGTTAAATGTTTAACGCATTCATATGTTAATTTAACATATTGCTCTTGTGTTAATTGACCTAAAATGTAAAATGATTAAAATACTCGAAAAGAAATGTTAAAACAACACAATGTGTACTTATTTCTTAATCTTACACAATACATATGTTATATATATTTATAGTAACAAGATTTACCTGTTAAAATTTACAGAATAAAATGTTGATTTAATTCTATATAACATAAGTGAGAGTGATTTCGAACCGTTTGACTTATTACATCTGTAAAATCTAAAAATTACATTTAAAAATTCATTTTATCATTAAAATATGTTAATTTTACACAAAATTTATTTCAAACTATTTTGAGATTTGCATTTATTTTGTGTTAAAATATTAACAGAGTATTAGTGTGATCATTTAACGTATCCATATTATGTTAAATTAACACAAAAATTTGTGTGGCCGTTTGGGACATGTGATATCTGTTAAATTTAACACAAATTTTTCAACTGCGCATGCAATGGTGTACATGATTTTGGTCAGCGGTTTATCCCTCGGTTTCCAATTTTTTATCGCATTTCAATAATAAGTAACAAAAGAATGGGAAAGAATTTGCGCGCCGCATATAATTATACATGCATCTCTCTAATAATTACTGAAATTTAAGAATGTCGTTAACTCTGGATACATGCAACGCAGGAGTTCGCGAATACGTTAATCCGGCAAACAAAGAAACACGCGGGCGATTTGCGTCCGAAGGTAATAGGCCTGGAGTGTCCGGCGATTCTAGACACGGCAAATTCCGCCAGGCTTCAAACGCCCATCAGCGTTTTGTCCTCGGTATCGCAACCGGTAGATATCGCATTAGGAAGCAGCGAGCACAAATAGGATCTCGATGCGAGACCAAGCTGTCGGCTAACATCGCATTGCGTTAGTATTATCACGGGACTCGCAATTACCGGGACCACGTTAGTTTGGGAGAACGGGGTGAGACGAGTGATGAGGGTGGCGGTGGTGGTGATGGTGGTGGTGGTGGTGGTGGTGGTGGTGGTGATGATGATGGTGTTGGTATTGGTGGTAGTTGTCGGTAGTTATTAGGGCAGCGCACAAAAACGAGCATTATTGCTCGGCTAGGTTCCCGTTCGGATCCGTATAGTCCTCGTACTCGTCCTCCGGCTCCTCGTAATCCGTCTCCGCGGGCTCGGGACCCTCGATCGCCGGCACGGACGTGCTCGTGATGTCCTGCTAAGCACACACCAGAATCCAAGCATACTACCCCACTATTCCCTCTATCCCGCGTTCGGTGTTAGTAGACTATTAGTGTCCGCGCGCTGTGTTGTTACAACATCCCCCGCGATAACTTGCAAAGAGCACGGGCAATCCGAAACTGCCCAACAATATCACACAGAAGCTCTATTGTTGGTCAACCGATCAATTCGAAATCCGCACAAGACTCGTGCAGCAGCCCTTCGATCTATCTCTCTATCGCACTGCGAAATAACTGACGTTCAACGGAACAGCAATCGTGAAATCGGTTCTTTCGTCTCGCGAAAGTGACTGTTAATTTACAGGTGCCGTTGGTAAATTATCGTCACGAGTCGCGAAACGTACGCTCGCGAGAATCTCGTAATATCTGGTATATTTTTGTCTCAATTACTTTTCGTCAATTTACTGCGAGTGGCTACGAGTCGAGATTATGTACGGCGTAACTTTTATTCCCACAATCCCTCCTGCCCACAAACTCCAAAGCAAAATAAAGCTATCGATTACCTGCGGTGGTCTCCAGCCGCAGCCCGGTAAGGGGAGTCCATCCGGTCCCAGCGGACACGGGGCATCCAATCCTGGAACACCTTGGTCTCCCTTGTTGCCCTTGTCGCCTTTTCTGCCGCGTTTACCAGGCGGCCCCTGCGCGCACACGCGAAATGCATCATCTCTCTGACAGACGCGAAACAGCCCGATGCAAGTACGCGACGTGCAAATAAGGCCAGGCATAATATTGTTGGATTATGCATTATAGTACTTGATCGATCCGGTGCACAATACCCCGACGAGTACAAAGAGCGAAGGTGAGCCTGTCGCGGGTCGCAGTTTAATTATAACGGATTTTAATTGATAATTACTACGAAGGTCTTTTTTATTCCTCGTGCCCTTTTGACTTAATTCACTGCAATTACCGGATCGCTGAGGCACGATCTCTTCTGTCATCAAAGCTGAGATGATTTCCTAGAGAGAGAGAGAGAGAGAGAAAGAGACACAAGAGAAAGAGAGAGAGAGAGAGAGAAAAAAAGAGAAAGAGAGGAAAGACGACAGCGCTCCCGTTGGCGCTTCCTCGAGCGTCTAATGTTAGCGTCTCTAACATTATTCGCGCCTCGTCACTACACGGAACGGTGGTGGCAGCATATATTTACAAATGTCTCAAATGTACGCGCAAAGTGTGTTAGTTTCCTGTGGAACTTGGCAGGAATGGCGGGCACGTGTGCGTGAGGATATTCTCCTCGTGTTTCTACAACTAGAGCTCCCTCCGCTGGCTATCTTTTCGTGACCTTGCGGAGATCCCGCGGCCTCCTCGTCCCACCGACGTGCTTGCGCAGCAATAGTCGTGAATAAAAGATAAGACACGGGGATGCGAAAGGACGAATCGCGCGCGCGGCCCGCTCGCTCTCGACTCGTCCGGTCGAAACTCGATACGTGCGAGATGCGCGCGATCGATCCCTCTCGTTCCAATTCAAAACGTCGCGCGGCATTGAGCTAATAAGCCGAGTCTCGACGTTGCGGAGCCAACGGAGGTAATTAATTTCGCCTCCGACGTCTCGAGCTCGATGACTTTGGCGGCAAGGTAAACTAATCGACTAATGCAAGGGTCCTCCGTATATGTACGAGAGTATATTCGCTAACTCGCCAGGACACGTGCATATGTCCGCTAGACGAGCCGCACTTCTCGGTCCATCAGTTATCGCTCGGCAAATAATTTCCAGTCGAGCACACGAGCGATCTAATCACGCTTTCGCATCCTCGCGAGAGAAGGAGAGAGTGAGCGAGAGAGAGTGAGAGAGAGAAAGAAAGAGAAAGAAAGAGAGAGAGGAGAGAGAGAGAGAGAGAGAGAAAGTGACGATATAACTCCGCGTGGATCGCGCTCAATCGGCGTCGCGCTGCGGAGCACGCGCGTCGAAAAGGTGAATTACTCGAATTAAGTCAATACTCACAGATTCGCCTTTGGCACCTTTCTCTCCCTTCGGTCCCTGGAATTGGTGAACACGGTCAAAAGGAATTTATTCGATAAACGCTGGCCGTCGTTTTGCGCGCGCGAGACGCACGGTCGTCCCAGAAAAAGCGTTTCCAAGCTCGAAAGGGGGCTCGAGGAAGGGTGCCGCGTGTGACCGCGATGTCGTATATATACGTATATATATATATATATATATATATATCGATCAGCGCCAGCTTTTCCGTTACCGTCAACCGTCACCTATCGAGCAGTGCTCCGTAAGGGGTGGCGAGGGGTGGCATATCGATTCGCGGCCGGAACCACGGGCACGGCATTTCGAGTGGATCACTTGGTTATTGCTCTTCCCTCCGACGAGAGACGTCAATAAACCGAGAATATCCGATGTCAATAAACGGCACCGATACGAGAGAAAGAGAGAGGGAGAGAGAGGGGGGGAGAGAGAAACACAGAGTTCTCCGTTTTAGATTCAGTTTAACTTTCCAGGCAATTAGAATTTTGTTAGCTGCAGCCTCCGCGTGCAGTTATTTGCGTAAATATCACGACTGAGTTTCTGGAGCTGCAACTCGAAAGAAAAATCAAGGTTTCGGCGAGCTACGCCAATAATTTTCCCATTTTTTTTTCTCTCGCCGATGTGTCGTACGCTTGATAAAGTTACACGAGCCGCGACATTTGTCGCGAGAGAACGAGTTACGCGGGTTGTCTTTGATTCAACTGCATCATCCCTCTCTCAAACACTGAGAGAAAAAGAATGGTTAGAATAACTATAATCTCACTATATTTTATAGTGAATTTTGGCCTCAAACATCTTTTTATAGTTTTATTAAACATGCAGAATATAGCAGAGCGAACGTAAATTTGTAGCCATTATCACTATGACATAAATTAGCACAACCATATGAAATAGTTATTGTGAACTAAAAATATATTTTTGTGTAGTTAACCGTACTACAAAATAAAGTTACCTGAAACACAGTGAAAAGTACGATGAAACATACGAAATAGTAACAAACTGTACAACTATATGCAATAGTAATAAATCGTATTTATATACAGGGTGTTACGGATAAGGTGTCCATCCGCTCGGATACAGGTAGAGCGGGTTAAACTGAACAAAAAAGTTATGTACCATTTTGCAAAATTCACAATAGTTTTCGAGCGATAAATAAAAACGTCTGGGCGAATGAACGCACGAGAAGCAGTGGGCCGCCCACCGTTAAGCAACGGCCTACCGCTTTCCTCGCGCTTATTCGCTCAGACGTTTCAATGGATTACTCGATAACTATTGGGAATTTTACAAAATGGTACATGACTTTTCTCTTCAGTTTAATCCCCTCTACCTGTATACGAGCGGATGTACGCCTTATCCGTAACACCTTGTATACATTGCGTTTACCACGTTCATTGGTTACATCACTTTGTACTCGTAAAGAATAGTACAAGAAAGCCTCTTTCAAAGAAAAGATAAGTAATCTTATACGAATGCATAAACTTTCTCGTATTTATAATATCTTATGCGGTTTTCTTCTCACGAAAAAGCCTTATACCGCGCGTCCCTCTAGTGAGGACATTCCGAACCACGTTTGTTTAACACGTGATTAGTAAGGTGGATGATATAAATGTAGTTAAACTTACTATTATTATGATTGTACCTACTATATAAAAAGGAATTAATTTACTATTCATTACCTAGATATTTCAACAGAATAATAGTTAAAAGCTTCTATTTTATAGTAAGTCTTTCTAATAATTGGCATCACTGTGTCTATATGGTTGCTATTACTAATGTTATAGTAATAATTACTATAAAAATGATATCCCCGGCAATAATTAGTTTGCTATGCAATTGCAGTTTCAAATACTAGATATTTTTCTCTCAGTGAAGGATAGCTACTCCCTTAGATAAATAAAAAGGAAATATCGCGCGCTGTGGTCCGAGATATAGCTGTCGTACGTCGCGGAGGTGAAGGAGATTATACCTCCCTGTGCATTCGAGAGAGAGTCGTTACGTTTATACGCTCCCGCATTAATGCGCATCGAGCGGTCACACGAGCACTGGCTCGAGCATCCTTCCGGACACTCCAGAGAGAAGCACGAAGGAGTTGCGCGTTTCCCCCTCCGTTATAATTCGGCCGTAAATTTTGATCGGGCGCGCGACCCTCTCCAACTTGATCGCGCCCGTGCCGAAGAGGTGGCACACGGGAGTCTTGCCTAGTTCTTAAATCGGCTCAACAGCTACTTGGCCCGGCTTATGTGCGCGCGCAAATAATATCGGGCGTGGAATGACCCCGGTTCTTCCTTTCGCAAACGCCAGATATTATGCGTGAAAATATGAGAAAGCGGAATTGCTCGCGTCGGGCTCCAATTGTGTCAAGTGATCGGCTCCGGGAAAGTCCACGCAGCTGAGCGTTAATCGAGGGTTTAAAGCGTTGAAAAATCATTTGCGCGGATCGACGAAGGGCTCTTTCACGGGTGCGATCGAATGTCGAAAGGAAAAAAAAAAACTTGCGAGAATAGATTCCGAACGAAAGAGGGAGAAAGGCGCAAGACGCTGCCTCCGTTCTCTTCGAATTCGGACGGAGGAGGCAAAAAGAGAGGGCTCTTTTCGATATTTCTATTTTCTCTGTTCTTTTTTTTTCCTCGAGAGACAGTCCCCGGGGTAGATCAGGCGGAATGTGTCGTCGTTACCCCGGGCTGGTCAGACCGTGTCAGACTGTGTCGCAGTCGCGCCGGAGGACGAGCGATAATCGAAAGCCAACTGTACCTCCGCGCCGGGAATCCCATCGGTACCCTGGGGACAAACACAGATCGACTCGTTAGCGCGTCTCTCCGTGACGACGGGCGAGATCTAATCGAGTCAGCGCGCGGGTTTGACTTGACGCCGTTCCTCGGACATGACTCGATCTCGGTACGTGCCCGCGCGACGATCCCGGCGGATCGTAAACCGGGGGAGGCGAGATTGCGAGGAATCGATGGATCGCGATTGACGCTCGATCGAATTCGCGAGTGCCGGTCGCGCGCCGCGGTCGGGGTTTTACTCGAGGCTTATTTGTCAGGGAACCCGATTGCCGTCGGAGATCAACTTAAAATGTATGAAGAGAGAAAATCTATCTGTAAAATATCTCTCGAGAGCGCCCCGAAGTGATCCGAAACCGCGAAACCGGAAAATTATTGTTTGACGAGGGGGGGAGGTGCGGCAAGAATTGCCGCGGGATAATACTCGGTAAACCTCGAGGCATATATATCCGAGAGTTCTCTCGATAAACACGAACGCGGCACCAGGCGCGGCCGGGTGATACCGCGCGTTAGACGGATCAGACTCGACGGCGGGATAAATACTTGATGAGGCGTAGGACTTACAGGCAATCCCGGATCTCCCCTTTCTCCCTTTGTTCCTGGCTCGCCCTGCGCGCCCTGAAAGCACGAAGAAACATGACGGGCCGATTTTGGCGTAGCCTCGGCTCGCTCTCGTCGTCGGGGAAAAAGCCAATGAAGGACCGGTTCCCGCGGCTCGGTCTAATTTCGCCCGATCGATCGTTACATTTCGGACCGCGGTGACGAGACGAGACGAGACGAGACACACACCGTGAGCGGAAATAGAGCGAGAAAGGTAATTTTATAAGTGAAAACGGGGTCATCCCGTGGATCGCTCACCTTCATGCCGTCTAATCCTGGTGATCCCTGAAAGGTAGAGGAAACCTCGTCAGATACACGGCGTAGCCCATCGATAATATCGAGCATGATAATATTGTCGACAGCGACTTAAAACTATGTCGCGCAGGGGGTAGGGGGGGGGGGAGAACTTTTATCATCAGAGATCGTTCTTTCGACACCGTTGCTGCGCCCTCGAGTGTTTCAGGATCGGTCCTCGGATTTAATTCCCCCGGTCGCGTCGATCGATTCGCGCGAAAAATTTCGCCGGCGCGCGGCGCGAAAGAATATATTTGCACAGCACCGCCGTTTTCGCTATATAAATATAATATGTAGTAACTCTCGATCGTGTTACGCCCCCCGCGGCTTCCCTTGCGCGGGCACGCGATGAAGTTTCGAAACTCTCGTTCGGATTTTCAAATTAAGTTATAGTTGCGCTATATTGCGCTTGATGTGTCGGTACAGATATTGGCCGGGGATATTCGATCGGTTTTCGCCGTAACGAAATTGCGTTTCTATTGAATTCTGCACCGGCGCTCTTGTTACAACGAATATCCCCGTCCTCGGTAAATATTTGAGGTGTAACTGCGGAATTATTTTATACATGTGTGTACATAATTTCGAGCTGAAGAGCGCGTTTCGGGTTATTTCCTCAGAAAGAAGGAGCGATGTGCAAACATTTCTTCCGCGGTTTAAACTCACACTCGGCGTGTAATGAATTAGGTCCGTTCGGCCGCCGTTCTTCGGGCGTTTCAACCGCGAGACTCATCTTCGACCCCACCCATCGTCGGAAGATAATCTTCACCCCCGCTTTCATATTATCAAAATTAATACCGACACCGAGAGAGAGTGAGAGAGAG